GAATATATTACTTCATTGCCAATCATTGTTTCTGTATGTACTTTAATATGAACTGTGACCACAATAAAAGGAATGAAACATTAGATCTGCGTTTGTCACACTTCAGCAACAACAAAAAAACAACTCGCTGACAATTGGTTGGACAGACGCCAATGGGGTTTTGAGCATAGAAACTGAGGGATTCACCGAAGGTCTTGTGTAATGTTTTCAGATGAGCCCTCGTTCACATTCGTCATGCGAAGGTCAACGTAAAGCACCATGACAGATTGGGGTGGGTATGTACGTAATGATATGTGTCGGGATCAGCAGAACACCGCTGCGTATGGTCCATCCAAAAAGGTAGCTGGACTGGTGACAAGAAGGTAATGCTTGTGGACTTCCTCCAGCAGAGAGGTGCGGTGGTGCCCACTAAGATACCATGTGTGTGTGTGTGTGCGTGTGTGTGTGCGTGTGCGTGTGCGTGTGCGTGTGCGTGTGTGTGTGTGTGTGTGTGTGTGTGTGTGATTGCAGGATATAACGGGTCATTCACACAAATAATCAGCAGCCACAAGGGCCAAATGTTTACTGTAGGAATTTCGGGGGAAATTGTAATCTACGCGTGTTGCTCGAATAGACTAAGTCCCATGTATTAATGGATTTGGTTTTCAGACTCTGGTCTGTCTGGTTCAGACTCAAATGTTTACAGGTTGCAGTGATATAGCTGGAGCATTACTCACTATGGCGTTAAACAACAATCACTCCCTCCATTCTACAATATTAACTTTGGCTGAACCATGCATGCAAATCATTTAATACGCACCGAACTGAGGAGGGTTGTAAATGATGGATATAGATTTTATAACGGCGGGTGACACTAGAAATGGGTTTCACACATTATACCTATGCAGGGAATCGAACCAGTGTCTACATTGTGACGAGCGAACACTTCAACCACTAGGCTTACCCAACCGCCCCTACTGGTCATTGGAAGCATTAACGGAAGCACGTTACAATGTTAATCTGAAAGTAGATCTGCTGACACACCAAGCGCCAGGTTCATTCAGGTCATGTTGGCAATAGTCAACAACTGAATAATACACACTATGTGTAAGGGCGACCATTTCATATTCGAGGAGATGGGCCAGCGCTGGAATGTTGTTGCAAAAATATTTTATCAATGCTTGAAAATACAATTTTGCCTCAGACTGTTGAAGAAAAGAAGAAATTGTCTGCCATAAGACATACGTTGTTGCAATATGTTCTTTACAAGAATATCTTTAGGCTCATAGTATTTTTTATAAATATATCTGGTTTTGCAGCTGCAGCTGAAACCATATCTAGTTTCTATTCAAAATCCGAACCATACTTACGTATGTCTAGCTCACTCAGGTCATGTTGACATAAATCAGTAACTGAATATGACACATCATACAATGTATTTCAGTTTCACTCAGTTCCTGGTCACATTAGTCAACACAGGGAAATACACACCGATTGTCTATTTTAAAAAAAACGTGGAATTCGGCATAGAGACACGACTATTATATCTCAATGTAGTTTAAATTTGATTGATATTCATAAAAATGTTTTAATTCATTAGTGTACTGTGTATCAATGATCGATGGCACTTAATGTGCCGATTGCAAATATTAAAACAAATCCTTTCCGTTTTTTGAGTTTATGATGCATAGGCACACACATGGCATGCAACAGATAATATTTATACGAAGAGATAAATACGATGGTTTATACTAGAGACCAAACTTGACATTTTTCGTTATATACATCATAGAATAAATGATACATGCGAATGCAGATGTAAATTTGTGCCAATAAATTATAAATGAACCAATGTACCTACTGCACGTTTAGTTTGACGCAACAATTTTGTTGCCACATGTATTTACGCAGCCTTTGTTTGGTACAACAGAATGCGGAATGCGTGACACCCGACCATGTTTTTTTTTCATATTTTCTGTCACTTGGTCATGTTTCTTCTGAGTTCAACCCACTTTACGTAAAAGTGTGACATTCCGTACTTTCTTTGATGACTCAGGGAAACAGTCATATGTCATAAGGACAGGTTGATACGGATAAGGTTAAGGGGCCAGCTAAGCAACAGTGACGGACATTGTGGCAAAATGTAAGGAAGATAACTCAAATGCTGTGGTGAAAGTCAAGGGTAATAAACTAGTTACACAGTATAAAGTATAGTCTCATTCTGTCTACATATGGTCCAGACCTCCCTGGCAGACCAGACAAGCTGCCTCTGTAGCTCTGGGTATCATCCAGCTCTGGGTATCATCAGCTCCTTTCTGTGAATTCAGGCACAGTTGGGGTAGGGGGTGGGGGGTGTTTCAGACGACGGCGGAGACACCAATACGTGTTGTAACGCCAATGGCTTCCTCAAACCTGAATGACTTCCCGGACAAAAGAGGCATTGGAAAGAGTTATGTGAAAATGACATCTTGCTCTGCATGTATCCTAAATCAGGTAGCAGTATAACCCCTACTATGGGATATATATTTGAAGCCCATATTTGGTGTCCCCACGGCGAATTTACTGAATTATTGCTAAAATCCATACTCACTTACTCTCACATGCCACACCACTGTTTAATGTCATTGGGGGGCACAGGTGGCCCAATCGTCTTAGGCCCCGCGATTCGCAGTGCAGAGTTGCGTCCCTTGGGTACGCCAGAAACCTATGATTGTGGCTTCAAATCCCGGTTCGCCCCAAACATGTTTCTAGGTTTGTCAGCACCATACCCGTGCTCGTCTGAGACCTCCATCACTTCGGTCTTTCCCTCACACACTAAGCTGACACGCCGCAATATAACTGGAATACTGTTGAAGGTGGCGTAAAACCCAACTCACTCACTCACTCACTCACTCACTGTTTGATGTCATTAGGTCTGAACCATGCAGTCGGAAAACGATAGAACACAATTTACAAGGCTACAAGCTGCAACCTGCCTATCTCGACCAGTCGTATATTATAAGGGTAACGCTATTTTTCAGGGTATTATCATTTGCAGAAGCCCGAGGTCTCCCATTAACGGCGAAGGAGGGCAGTTGAAAAGACCGAGGGCTTCTGCAAACGATAATGCCCCGATAAAGAGCTTTACCGTTATTATAGCTAAAATGGATTGAATGTGTTATCAAATTAAAAGAAACAACAATATCGGTTTTGAAACATTTACTGCAATCAACACACGGAACAATAACACGAGGAACAATAAACAGGCTGCAGGAAAGGATGTCGGAGGTGTGTTGTTAACTCGACTTAATGTAATCACAGGACCAGATGCGGGAGATGAGAGGGATGTGTGAGAAATATTGATGAAGCAGTGGTTAGAAAACGTAAAGATGAAAAACAGTTTGGTCACTGAGAAATAAGACACGAACGTAAGTTACTAATCACTTTTTATCAGTATAAACAACAAAAATGCTGTACAAAACATTCCAGAGATCTCAATAACTATTAACGAAAAGTCACTCACATATCACTCACATGTAATATTTGAGGGAGTTTGTATTGAAAGTGACATCAACAATATTTGTGGCTTAAACTCGTTAAACTATAATATTAATACCTTATAAAAATCTTGGAGGGGCAGTACAGTTTATCAAATACATAAATGTTTTAAAAATGACAACTATTACACAACGACACAATATAAAACGGGATTTATATGATTAGATCGTCAGCGTGCAATGTTTGGCCACCATACTCAATACCACTGGCACTTCCCTTTACTATATTAAAGACACCACTGTCGGCATGGCTAAACCGTGGTTCCAAACAGTCGGTGACTGTAAGAACTGGTTCCCTGTGGCCCAGAGCGAGTGGTTTCATCTGCTCCACCAGGAGAAGATGGCAAACTGTCGCCTTAAGTACTGACAGTGTACTTAAAGTGAACCAACGATCATAGGATCAGGAACTCCCTACAAATGCAACTCTAGACATCGAATTGTGACGCCGTACACGCTTGTCCCACAAGTGCTGGAGGAGGAAACCATTAAAAGGATAAATTATTAGATGCCATATTTGCGAGACGAACAATAAAAATAATGCTTTATATGCATTTATGTGTGGTAAAATTCAAAGCTTAATTGTCTGCTGAGTCCGACATATCTGCTTTACAAGCTTAAGTATGTTGGGGAGTAGGTTTTAAGCCGCTTTCAGCAATAATCCAACTATTTCACAGTGGATACTGAAGGAGTTCTTAATTGCAGATAAGGTCGACATGTGGGCGTTGGGGAGCATCGGGAGTTGTAAACCTATACCCTAATGATGCTACGGATATGATAATTGTTCATTGTTGTTTAATTCAATTCGCTTGAGTATAACTAACAGTGCAGACATGTGGGTTGATAACTGAATTGCAGAGCAAAAGAAAGTACACACCCAAGTTTGATGGTGGCTTAACAAGAAATGGTTATTCGATGGTGACGAATTTGATACGGGTATCATATTAAGTGAGTGCAGTGGGCAGAATGGGGAGATGAAATCCAATGTACTCGTGGAGGTTCATGATCACGTCGCAGTACACTTCCCAATCTGGCACAATGTCAAAGGAATGCATTGTAACCAATAACGTTAAGGTTATATGGTTCACTTCCATTCATGAGAAACCAAACATTTAACAATCACTACTAAACACGTCAGCAATACATGTCAAGTGTCAAACTCAAGTAAAATGTAACAACTATACACACACTGATAGAATACGATTCTTATTACATTTGTCAGTATGCTAGGAACACCTGTGACGAGGCTCCAGATTGAGGGACCACCCCTTGTATGCTTATGTATATTAAATTGTAATTTCCCTTGGGGTTTGTAGTTACCTTTTCGGAGGAAACTTATAAATCATTTGAACCTTTAGTGTAAATGAAGCAGCTTCTTAAAATGCATCGCTGCATCTTGTCATGCTGGTCTTATTACATAATTATGATCGTTACGTTGCTTGTCCCTGGTTTCATTTAACATGTGTTATTCAAATGCACATTCAGCCCTTGCTTGTGACACAGGTGTTTACCATTAACCGGGGGACCACACAGTGGTAGTTTTGATCAGTACATAGTCCATCTGCTGTTATAACAATCATGATGTGTGAGGATGTTGATCGTTCGTTGGTAAGTGGCATTGGTGTTATCAACAGCGTGTCTCGTTTCCCTCTTGGACAATTCTAGCATTGAGGGAAGTTCTTGCAATGTGAAACCGAGGGTACATCATGTTGATATTAGTAAACAACTGCTTATAAACCTTGTTTTAAATCAAGGCATTTCGATATCTATACTGCACCATTTCAGAAGTTTAATTTTTTATTCTTGACGAATAATACCACCTTCAAATTTCAGATCACATACAATCACTGATTTCCTAACCCGTAAATGTATGATGTTATTGCCGCAAGCCCAAACTGTGAAAACGTCTTTTAACCTCCACGCATATTATCGTTGACCTTGTACCCGTTTGCTAGCATATCAGCTGCTCACTGAGGTTAGTTTCGTTGAGTCTGGTGGCAGCAGTTGGAGGGAATGATTTGTCTTATCCTGTAATGTAGGCCACTGCACAGATCCGTTTCACTGTCGTCTGTATCGTGTTTTGACCCATAGGAGATACCAAATATCACTTTCCTTCCTTCGACGGGCTGAAGTAGATGCGTTTGCTCGTGTCAAAGAGAGTGGGCTGAAATATATAAATATAAAGAGTTATGGAATTCTGCCAAAGACTAACGACGCAGATGTGCCAACGAACCATCGTGCGTTTGTTATTGGAGTCTTTAAGATTGATTTTCAATTATCTAAGCCTACAATATCAGAAATAAGCACACTTTCTTGATATATTTTTGACACAGATTCATCAAATGATTAGATCTACACACAACGGAAATTTGAAAAAGAAAGTCATATGAAAGCACATTTTGATTGAGAGATTTTATTAGAGTTATACCCTATCATAAAGGACTTCAAGTTGTAATCTTTTTTCAATTTACCCTACTTAATTAAATTTCTGATAATTGGCATCATAAGTTACATGATGTATTACTAAATCTTATTGTGGTTTATAAGTGCATATTTTTCTAATAAATGGTATTATGTAGGGAGGACTTACCAAAGTGACTTGTGCTTTTCATATTGTGTGCGGAAACAGCTTTCGGTGTTCTCGACACTCTCATTGGCGCGGGACCCGTGAAGATCCGGGGTAGAATAGGTCTTCAGCAACCCATGCGTGCCGTAAAAGGCTACTATGCTTGTCGTAGAAGGTGACTAACGGGATCGGGTGGTCGGGCTCGCTGACTTGGTTGATGCATGTCATCGGTGCGTGGATCGATGCTCATGATGTCAATCACTGGATTGTCTGGTCCAGACTCGATTATTTACAGACCGCCGTAATATAGCTGGAATATTGATGAGTGCGGCGTTAAACAACAAACCAACCAAATCATTGGCGCGTCGATTTGCGATCTCTGACTCCGCCAGTGTTGGTTTAAGACACACCCTATGTACTGCAAATATCGGCGTCTGTTATTGTCAATATGTGGCCCTCTTATCTGTGGGTTTACGCGAAGTCTCAGACTGCGGTGTTCCTTCCCACCAGAAGGAAGTTAGTCCTAGCAAAACAGGCCTCAATTGGATAAATATGGAAATGTGTTAGGTTCACTCAGGTTAAGTTAAGAATAGTCTACAACTGGGTAATACACACCATATGTCAGAGTCACTCGGGTCAGGTCTACATTTGCCCACAAATGGGCATTACACACCATATGTTTGTTTCTCTCAGGTCATGTTGACATTACTCACAGGCAGAATAATACACGACATATGTCTATCAAAAAACATTGAATTCGACATAACATCATAATATTCAATATAGTTTTTGGTTTGGTTGAAAATCATCAAAACACGTTAAAATGAATCTAGAGTTTCGCGTTACAAGCGTTTTAAGTGCTTGAGCTAATCATACAGACAGGGGGCGGTCGGGTAGCCTAGTAGTTAAAGCTTTCGCTCGTCACGCCGAAGACACGGGTTCGAATCCCGACATGGGTACAATGTGTGAAGCCCATTTCTGGTGTCCCCCGCCGTGATATTGCTAGAATATTGCTTAAAGCGACGTAAACCCAAACTCACTCACTCACTCACTCATACAGACAGGAGGAAACTGTTCCATCGCTGGAAAGAACATACTGGGATGGTACCATCCAGGCCACAGTGGCGGCCATCGGGGCGAATGTAAGGGAAGTAACTCAAATACTGTGGTGAAGGATAAGGGTGATAGTGAGTGAGTGAGTTGTGTTTAACGCCGCTTTTAACATTATTCCAGTTATATCACGGCGTGTCAGCTTAATGTGAGAGGAAAGCCCGAAGTGATGCAGGTCTCAGACGTTTACCACTTCGGTGAAACCCACGAGCACGGGTATGGTGCTGACAAATCTAGAAACATAATCGGGGCGAACCGGGATTCGAACCCACAATCATAGGTTTCTGGCGTGCCCAAGGGACGCAACTCTGCACAGCGAATCGCGGCTCCTTAGACAACTGGGCCACCCGTGCCCCCCGATAAGGGTGATAACGTCAGTAATATATTTGTATGTGGTATCACCTGTTTCTCTCCACACATCTGTTAAACGTTCCGCCAGCACATGTGCAGATATCCCCCAAAGACCGGAGACCCTTTCGCTTTCGCAGCACTGTAAGCAAAATGTGTTTCCATGTGTGTATAAGTTCCAGAGGATCTTTTACCAACAACATTTGTTCCTTTGGAGATGCATGTCGCGTTAAGACTTCCTATCACACTGAAATTTTGTTCCAGTCATACCGGAACTTTCATACACATATGTACTGCCTTGTGAAACTATCACCTGTCCAAAAGAGGGATTTCATATGGGGCTATTTAAAAAAAATCGGGCTTGGTAATATTTTGAGAGAGGGGTAGGTTTTGAACAGAGGAAGGATATATATTTTTTTCCGGTTCGGAACTAAATTTGGGCGGAACAAAAACATGCTTACAACTCCTTTCTTTGACTTCAGACACACCTGGTGCACATTCCAGACGACGGCGGTGACACCATCACGTGTTATAACGCCAATGGCTTCCTCATACTTGTCTCCTCCGACAAAAGAGCCATTCTGGGAATCCGCTCAGTGAAAATACGCGCCGATGACATCCTGCTCTGCACATATCCTAAATCAGGTAGCAGTATAACCCTAATGTAGAGGGTAAGGGTAGCCTTGTGGTTACAGCGTGGGAGGGTGGCCGGGAAGCCTAGTGGTTAGAGCGTTCCCCCATCACGCCGAAGACGCGGGTTCGATTCCCGACATGGGTACAATGTGTGAAGCCCGTTTCTGGTATCCCCCAACGTGATATTGCTATAATATTGCTAAAAGCGGCGTGAAACCATACTCACTTACTCACTTACTTACAGCGTGTGTCTGCTTGACTGTGGCAGAAACCGTTCTTACTCACTCACTACAACACACTATGAGTCTCATTGCCACATGTTCGATAAAGAGTGTTTGAGTGAACGTTACTTGAGGGATATTCACACGGTACAACTAATTACATACAATCTGTTGCATGCAACACATTGCATCGTGTGTATAGGCTGTGAACAGGCAAGTCAGTCCAACGTTTGGCGTATGCAACGCTTTGGACGTGAGTGAGTACGAAATCGGACATGCTCTATTTTTATGCGTCAAATTTTACGCACGCAGCCAATCAAAACGTGTATCAAAATCACGTGATATTTATACGTCAATTCGTAAACAAAAATGGCGATTCAGATTCACGTCAGTAACTTCGGCTTTTCGGTATCCAATGTGTCACCACTCAATAAAGGACCAATGAAAGGTAAACACGTAGAATAACCCTGAAACACAAATTATATATTTAGACATTTGCTTCGGTCTGTTTTTCCAGGTTAAAATATTCATAGTGGCATTTGAAATGGCAGGATATGTGACTGTACACTGTTGACCTAGATTAGGTCCATAATACGTTTCTAAATTTTAAAATACGTCACGCACACAAATACACGTCACAGTTTTGTATTCTGAGGGAAAGTATGCCATTAACAATTTTAGACAAAGCATATGAACAATAAACGACATCTGAAAATAATGTACAACGCAATTATAGCCATTTTCTCATTCCACTAATTCCTCATTCTCAATGTAATTATTTATTCGAATAACGGATAGCTACATGGGAAGTAATATAAAATAACTGTCGGGTGTCTGCACTATGTCCAAACACAAATGATAATTCCGAAAAGACTCCAGTAACTCTTTATTCGTTCCGAAACGTCGTAGAAACCCTGAACCGAAACTCCATGTTGGATAGTGTTGCAAAATCAGTCGCGATGCCTATTTAACACTCATCTGCGATACATCAATCCCCTGAATTCATCATAACATTAAGAATCAAATTAAAAATGATCTAAGTCACTAATACAAATGGACCAAATGAAATCAACTGAAATATATTCCAGTGTGAAACTAATCCCTGTATTCTGAAAATGTAAACAAGACGAATCTTCTACTTGTACATGTTAACATTTTCTACGATATTGAGGGATGAAAGTGTCAGTGTATTGCATACATCAGCTCATATTATTGAAAATATGCATGGATTATAATCGTCACAAGAATTGAAGGGAATTATAAATAAAATAGGCCTACTTATTAGAAAAATCAATTTGGAAAAGTCAAAAGACGTGACGCCATGACTGAATGCAAAATCAAGCACACTGACGTCGGTATTAGTCTGCCTTTCTTCGTAGTCTCAAGGATAGAATGGAATCATAAAAACAAAAAAAACATGTTGATTTCAGATTACTTGACTTCCATGACTCATTTATGTATATGCGAGCCCTTCACCACGGAAAGAAGCTACTGTGAACGTTCCGCCTACTGCTGTTAGTGAACAGTGAACAGCTATTTTGTGAAGGGGTTTAATGGAAGTGATTGAATATTAGTATACGTCAACATCAACATCGTTGTACATATTTGTTATTTTCTTTGAGGTGAGGGTGAATAAGTACACAACGCATTCATTCCATAAAGTAGTTTACTTGAATTGATATTTGAACATTTCTTGAATATATTTTCACCCAGTAAAACATTCACAACTGCAAAATTGGTACATGTACCTATTACTGTTTAATATTATCAAAAATGCTACAGACTTTATGAAACCTTTAATAATCTGTTGTTTGTTTGAAGACAGGAATTGACATTCACCATGTCGTGAAACGCATATTCTTCCTATAAGATGCTTTGTGAATCTAACACACTGCAGCATATACATACCAGTATATTTCCTTTGGAGAATCATGAAATATTCATTATGACAAATGTATATATTTAAATCGCAAATAGGTTAATTACAAACAAACCTATCATTTTTGTTATTAAAGTAAATGCATATCTGAAGGAAAATCGTCACATTATATTTTTATTACTGTACACAAGTGTGGAAAATACCCTCTGTTTTACTTTTGTAAAAATATCGTTTGATTGCCGGAACATTGATGCTCAAAGGTTGCATCAGGTGCACATTTACAGGGGGCTGACCATTTGAGATTCAGGGGTGGAGGTGGGTCATGGTCTGTTTGGGTTTCGGGGTGAGTTGGTGGGCGTGGTTGGGGTTTGGGGAGCTGTTTGTATTGATAAATGTTCTTTTAATCGAAATTTTCTATACTATGAACGACTATCAGAGGCAGTTGTATATGTGTACAACCATGAAATAATGGACTTTTGATTATATTCTAAGAATACAGCATCTTCGGAACACAAAAAAACAAAAACAATTCACAAGCTTCAAAAACATTCATTCCAGCTATACATGGCATCAAACATTAATTTTGAACTCATTTTCCGACTTTCCACAATTGTATCCTCGCACCTATAAGGTCCCTTTTTCCAGGTGGGTAAGATATACATGTACATGTATACTGTTACTCTTCGTACCGATTGGTACCGATTTCAACGTTTCTTATTAATTTAGATAGAACCGTAAAATGTCTGGTTTCAACTGGTCAAAGGACACTTTTATGATTTGTGTGGAACATTCATTTATATTATTATCAAATTTGAAATATGTCGTCAGGACATTTGGATCCAATTCATTCAATGTCCAAGAAAAAGAACCGATGTGGTTTTCAATATCGATAGCTGTGTGGGAACATTGTAGGTACACATGAACAAAAATATACCAGAACGTTTTGTCCTGAGCCATAGCAACATGACCATGGACATGACCGTTACGAAGTTTCAATAACTTACAGTTAAGCTTGGTGGAGTTATGACGCGTCGAACAGGACGTTTTGCTCGTAGACCTGCTACTCTTAAACGGTTTCGTACGGTCTGGTCGGAGATTCTGCGTAGTCTGGGTATTTGGGATGCTGTTGAGGTGGCTGTGGTCGACACTCTCACGTAGGTGGCGCAGTCGGATGTAGAGATCTTGGGCAGGGGTGGTTACTCTTGGTCGTCACGACCTTGGCCGATCACGTGTGGACCCATAGCATTGTGATGGTGCTGGGCGCTACATTGAAAACCTTGGCTCCAGCTTATCGGAATTTCACTGCATGCGAGAGGCCTATGACGTTGTTTCTTTGAACTTCTGCTAATCTTGGCATGTTGTTGCATGTCACTGTTGATTGACGCAGATGCCAGGCAATGAAAAACCCTGCACTTGAAAACCGTTCATAGTGCTGCTGTGCGTGCAGTGCGTGTAGCTCCATGGAACTTTTGATAATGCACTGGGTGTGTGTTTCCGAATCGTACGTGTTACCCTTGTTGTGATCATTTCGATCCGGGAAATTTGTCACTGACAGTATAACACATAAAACCTTTTCATTTTGCACCCCTTTGTCTGCTAATTTTGCTGTTATGGACCAAAATATCCGTATTGCGTTTCTATTCCTTTTTTTTAAGAATATATTTTCACTATGACACTACGTTTGTTACAATGACACTACGTTTGTTAACATTTTATGTTTGTATTCAATATACAAGTAGCAATCGAATATTAACTCTGAATAGCATAATAGATTGATTATTTCTTTGTTTTCTGTTTATGTCACACTCAGCTACAGTCCAGCTATGGGCATATCTGTAACGCCCAAGGCTACAAAAAGTAGCATGTTGAGGTTTAACAGGAGATGTGACGTATAATAGTGATGGCAGCTATAATAGTTATTTAAATGTAGCCATTACTGTTTTACAATATTTGGATAATTTTTTCAAGAAGATTTGAAACATCTGTAGAAGTTCAAACATAGATGGATGTACAATAAGAGTCTTTGGTATGTATAATTGTCTTAATTCTTCAAAATATTCAAATTTAAAAATATAATGATATTCATCCGCAATGTCTTTGCTTTTACAAACAGTACACTTTCTATCTAATAAAGGGGTGTGATTCCATCTTCCACATTCAATCAGTAAATAATTGCAAGAAGTTCTGAGTGGTATGTACACTCGTTTTGGTAAATTACACAGATATGTTTCCAGTGAGATATTATCTTTAATGACTTTGTAAAAGTAATTCCTTTACTTGAATTTGTGACATCATAATTCCACCGTTGTATAAACGCAATCATCCAAATCATCGAGCCTTGTACGAGAAGCTCTTACTGGTCACCGGTCGTGACCCAGAAAATCCAATCACTAATCCACCATCCAATGATAAGTGGGAGATGAGATTTCAGGGGGAGATCAACCAAGTACTAGTAGTTTTTTGTGCTAATATTCTTCTTTCTAGGAGGGGGGCATGGGTGGCCCAGTTGTCTAAGGCGCCGCGATTCGCTGTACAGAGCTGCGTCCCTTGGGCACGCCGGGCCAGAAACCTATGATTGTGGGTTGGAATCCCGGTTCGCCCGATTATGTTTCTAGGTTTGTCAGCACCATGCCCGTGCTCGTGGGTTTCACCGAAGTGGTGAACGTCTGAGACCTGCATCACTTCGGGCTTTCCTCACACATTAAGCTGACACGCCGTGATATAACTGGAATACTGTTAAAAGCGGCGTTAAACCCAACTCACTCACTCACTCACTCTTTCTAGGAACCAACTGGGTGTTTGAAATAACACGTGAAACCCTAACAGGGAAGATAATTGAAGATGACGTCACGATGGTTCAGAGGTTAATAGAAATGGAACCAGAGGAGAGTTACGCGGACCTCCAGTCTCCCAGGATACTCAACTCCCATTTGCTGATGAAACATCTGACAGAAGATGTTCTCAAGAAGAAAATAAAAGTCATTAACGTTCTAAGAAATCCAAAGGACGTAGCTGTTTCTTTCTATAATTTTGCGAAGAAGATTCCAAATCTAGAATATAAAGGAGAGTGGAAAAACATCTTGCGTCCTTTCTTTGAAGGGAAATGTGAGTACTTCTTGTATATATGATCAACGCCATGGCAACAGAACTATTATTATCGTCCCTCCCATTAATCCAATTTTATAAACATTTTTCATGCCCCACTTCTTTCCTTAAATCATTTTTTCTTATTATGCCTCTTCATATACTCATTGTACATATAATCAGCCTTGCTATAATACTGTCTGGTACCATGCTTGCTGGATTTATCTACCGTTAATGCCCTTTCCAGAGCTTCATGATTATACCTAAAATAATCCTTCCTACAATCATTCAGTGTCTCTTCCTTCCTACTATAACCCTTCTAACAATCGGATAACAGTGGCGGTGGCGTAGCCTGGTGGTTGATTCCCCACATGGGTACAAATTTTATGAAGTCCATTTGATACTGCTGAAATGTTGCTAAAAGCTGTGTAAAAGCATACTCACTCACTCAGTTACTTAGTCACGCATCTGATAATGCCTGAAGGTATTCATTCCCATTCCCTTTGTTGATAACAAAGGTCTTCTTTACTATAATTATTATTTATCCATCTTTAAACCATTCTTCATTAACACATCTTTTCAATGACCATTCTTACTACAAACATACTTCCTGTAAATACGTTTCATATCACATTTTCCCAAACACCCGGATTGATGGTTATTCATGGACGAGTGTTCGTGGCGCATACGGAATCGTGCGTTGGACTTTTGTCAGATGTTTCTTGTGGTTGTGGAGAGGGTTCTGTCCCTTTTATTCCCATGATCGCATTTCTTATCGTTGGCTGACAACCTTTTATATTTTGATTAATTGCCTTGGATACTGCAAAAATATGCATTCTAGAATGACGGTTGTACGTGACCCAGGTCAGTGTAGAAAACTTCATATTGTTACAGTTATGTATGGATCATGGATGGACTATGTTATAAACTGGGAGCAGGTGAAGAAGACCAATCCAGATCTGCCCGTGTTGACGCTCTTCTACGAAGACCTCAAGCAGGTAAGGCGGAGCAACACCCAAATACATTAAGTGGGTACGTTGGGAAAACCCATTAAGCAGGTAAACGTGGCAAATCGAGAACACATTAAGTAGGTACGTCGTGGCAAAATGCGGACACGTGAAGAAGGTGTGGGCAAGAATTTGACACATAAAACAGGTATGTCGAGGGAATACCAAAAAGTATGTGTTGGCAAACCGTGAACAAATTAAGCAAGACCAGGACACATTATTTAGGTATAGCGAGGCAACACAGTAAGCAGGTGTGATAAAGCATCGCGTGAACACATTGAGCAAGTATGTCTTGGCATAACGCATACACAGGTAAGGTGCGGCAACACGTTGACACATTGAGCAGGTGTGTCTGGACAAACTGTCAACGCATTAAGCAGGTACGACAGGTTTATTGTGGCAACAGATGGACACATAAGACAAGTATGGTGGGAAACATGCAGACACATGAAGCAGGTGAAAAGGAGGCAACACATGAACACATTAAGCAGGGATATGGTGTGAAGCACGAGGAAATATTAGGCAGGTGTGGTGAGGCATCACGAGGACACATTAAGCAGGGATATGGTGTGCAGCACGAGAGGACAATAGGCAGGTGTGGAGAGGCAACACGTGAATACATTAAGAAGGGGTTTTGGTGCAGCACGAGGGCACGTTAGGCAGGTGTGGTGAGGCAACACGTGAATACATTAAGCAGGGATATGGTGTGCAGCACGAGAGGACATTAGGCAGGTGTGGTGAGGCAACACGTAGACTCATTAAGCAGGGATATGGTGTGCAGCACGAGAGGACATTAGGCAGGTGTGGTTGGGCAACACGTGAATACATTAAGCAGGGATATGGTGTGCAGCACGAGAGGACATTAGGCAGGTGTGGTGAGGCAACACGTGAATACATTAAGCAGGGGTATGGTGTGCAGCACGAGAGGACATAAGGCAGGTGTGGTGAGGCAACACGTGAATACATTAAGCAGGGATATGGTGTGCAGCACGAGAGGACATTGGCAGATGTGGTGAGGCAACATGTGAATACATTAAGCAGGGATATGGTGTGCAGCACGAGAGGACATTAGGCAGGTGTGGTGAGGCAACATGTGAATACATTAAGCAGGTATATGGTGTGCAGCACGAGAGGACATTAGGCAGGTGTGGTGAGGCAACACGTGAATACATTAAGCAGGGGTATGGTGTGCAGCACGAGAGGACATTAGGCAGGTGTGGTGAGGCAACACGTGAATACATTAAGCAGGGATATGGTGTGCAGCACGAGAGGACAATAGGCAGGTGTGGTGAGGCAACACATGAATACATTAAGTTGGTTTGTTCGCAGCAAATGTATAAAGGTATGGGAACTCATGGATACATATTGGGGTTGTAGGTAACCGTCGGATTTATCTTTTTATATGTCATATGGTGGCAATATTTTCTATGGTGAGTTATTTTGTGATGGTTTAAGTGTAGCGGAGAAACAATGAACAGGCTTCATGAAAGGATGTCGGAGATGTGTAAACTCGTCTTGATGTAATCCTAGGATCAGATGCGGGAGATTAGGAGGATGTGTGAGTTCCTGGGTGTAGAGAGAACGGATGACTTCCTGTCCAGAATCTGTGACAACACAACACTGACGGCCATGAGGACTCTCAAAACAAAGGCATGTTATGATGGGGCAGTGTTTAGAAAAGGTAAAGATAAATTGTAGAAACAAATATTGTAGTTCACCGAGAAATACAACGGAATTGTAAGTCGCATAGGGAGTATTTTAGCCTTTTGTGACAATAATGACAATACTTTTAAAAATAATGACTGATCTAAATCGTCGAGGGACAGTGGATTATTTCACATATTTACCTTTAAAACTAGTTTGACAACATTTAACTTACCATAATTACACAACGACACAGTATAAAATAGACTGCAAATCGTCAGCAACCAAAATGTTGCCACCATACTAGTACTGCTGTGTCTCCATCATGTCAAGTAGATGTTTTACTTATCGCATCAGGCGAACATAGTCTCCTGCAGGATGTATGCTTCCTACTCTAACACAAGACAATGGATAAGGTTGCGATGGCCTTATGGTGGACTTACGTAAGTTAAGTTGAAACACATTTATGGCAAATTCGGAGAGCGATTAAACTTTCCACATAACATCGCCTGACAATCAGGGGTGACTTCCTTTCACTGTAGTTTAAAACAGCAGTAGTGACATGGCTCAGATTTAGTTGCAGGCTACGCTTACAACACTTGTTTTTTGTTCCAGGGGGAGTAGGTGACTGGAAGAACTGGTTCACTGTGGCCCAGAACGAGTGGTTTGATCAGCTCTACCAGGAGAAGATGGCCGACTGTCACCTTCAGTTCAAATACATGCTGTGATTTACCGACAATGTACCTCAGTCGAATAAAATCAGTTATCAGTGGTGATAACCTCAATTATTTTCCTGATCGATACACACATATTGTTATAAGGTTACAAATGCATCTAGCTGCAATGAGGAGTTGCATTAGATATAGTTTGTGACGGAGAACTATTAGTTCGAAAGGAATCAATAGATAAAAGACATTTTACATTGATCACAAGTGTATTCTTGACATTTCATGTTTATCATTGGATTGGTTCCATGTTATCGTCCATTAGTTAATGAAACAAGCAGAGAGGCAAGATACTTAATTTTCATTTGTAGCATCCGGAGAGAGTCACAAAATCAATAGAGAGATGAGCAATCTGGCACGTAGGCTTCTGTGTTTTTCCGATTACGACACACATGAGTCAAAATGAGGTATGGTGACATGTGACAAAGACAGGCCAGGCCCGAACACTATAAAATGATACTTTAACATTAGGTGGGTGAGTGTGGTTTTACGCCGCTTTTAGCAATATTCCAGCAATATCACGGCGGGGGACACCAGAAATGGGCTTCACACATTGTACCCTTTTCGGGAATCGAACCCGGGTCTTCGGCGTGACGAACGAACGCTTTAACCACCAGGCTACCCGACCGCCCTAACATTAAGAGAGGAGAGCGCAGTTTGCAATCGATCGCGTCGAATCCCGATCGTAAGATGTGTAACGGTTAATAAGTCAGATAAAACACTCTTCCTCTGTTTTGGTCGATATTGTAAAATCTGAGGTACCCGGGATCGAGTACCCAATCCCCGCTACCTCAGGTTTTACAATCTCAACCAAAAACGAGGAATTTTATCCTATATTTATCACTCATGTTAATTTAAGAAAGAAGTTGCAATAAACATTGGTGATTTTAGCACACACCCGCTTGGATTGACAGTCCCTCGTGTGTCATGTTTGTTTGACATGTTCTTCTGCCTGTGAAACAAGACTACCGTAAATCCCCTTCAAAGCGGTGGCAAAATAGAGAATAACGTTTCATAAACAACTCATCTCGCGCAGCGCACCGGGGTCGCATGGTCCGATTCAGACGACAGGGGAACGAGCCTCTGTTCACAGCCATGCGTCACCACGTTAAGAGCATCGCATTCATGTCCCCACGTGCTATACGCTAGTTAGCGGCCCGCCTCCCCTCTCCCTTCCCCTGTTCTACTGCGGACGATAAGGACTTAAATATTGAAAGCACATACACATATTGTCCTTTATGAGGGCGCTAACAAAAACCTGTGGACCTACCTTTAGCATACAGGGCCTAGATTTTCGAAACGATCTTAGCTGAGATAACTCTTAACAACTTATGTTCAAAGATAAGATATCTTAAGGTTAAGATAAGGGAGATTTTCGAAAATATCGTAAACCTGTCGCAGATCGTTCAGAGCTACGATACCTATCGTAACTCTGATAGAGAACTAATTTGTGGTAGAGATTGATAAAGCGTGACTATCCGAATACAAATATCATTCGAGTGTTATGCAAAGGCATTTTCTGCGAAAATATATTTGAAACTGAATTTTGGACAGTGTTTTAATCCCAAATGAGCATGGGAACCCTCTTTTTACGTGATATTTCAAATCGCCAATCTCGAAAATACGATGCAAAAATATGTGCTTAACTTTTGCTATCAGAATATCAATAGATTGCTACAATTAATGGAATACATATATGCCGTTAATCACCCGTTTTTAAAGAATGCAATTTTTCAACAGACAATATATTTAATCACTTGTTATCAAATATTTGTCTTTCAATAATATAGGTAACCTAGATGCTGTTTTTAAAACGAAAGAAATACAATTATTTTTGCTAAAAAAGATTAAATATACTCTTTATACAAATCTACTATACACATATTTGATCACATGTATTTCCATGTTCAATCAATAAATACTACACTGTATAGTTATATTCAACTGTTAAAACCGCTCGTCCCACACCATTTTAGATGTACAACCTGATGCGAAACGCTTATTGTTTTGCACTTCGTCACACATGTAGATTGATATAATTTTATAAAATGCGAAAATACACACTAAAGCATTGTCACAAATGCGATCCAGAAAATATAACAGCGGAACTCTGCGCTTTATAAAAAAAACTGAGCAAGGTCTCGCCGGGCGAATACAAAGGGAAACTCTCAGTTAGAGTATGAACTAAGATTAGCTGCCCCTGAGTTATCAATGAGGTCACGGTCATTACTAAAGCCTGTCAACACCTTCCGTTTTTTTCCTTCCCAAATTATCGAAAAAGGTATGTTGTTTCACACTTTTCAGCATGGACTATAGAAATATATTGTAAGCTATCGAGTTTTCGATGTGTCAGTTTGAATCACAGGGTTAAACAAAATGAAATGTCAATGTTTGAACGTAAAGCAGATTATTTGTTTGAAAAATATCCACGGCAAAGTATGCCGCCATCTTGGATGAAGATAAAATAAACTTACATGTACGATGGGTATGGGGCTATCTTAGATTTATGACAATCTTACGATATCTTAGGGCTACGATAGTTTCGAAATAAGCCTACGATAGCCTACGATTTCCTTACGAGAACTTTACGATATTCTTAGCATGGGCGGATACAGAGGGGGGAGGGGGGAGGGGGGGGTTTATTTCGAAAGAAAATAATTATTTCTGTATAAATTACCACCAAAGACAATAAATAGATCTTATTTGTGCCCCCCCCCCCCCCCCTCTTTTCAAAAAAGCTGTATCCGTCCATGCTTAGGACTACGATGGTTTCGAAAATCTAGGCCCAGTACCACAAACTTTTCAAACCCGTGACAATATCCTATGACGTAATTTGTAGTATTTTGTTACCGTTCCCACAGGCAAAACACTGCCCTGTGACGTCAGGGCCATCGGATGTGCATGAGCTTCTCCCAGTGATCTATCATCTCTACATGCAATGTCATTATATAAGCCCAGCGATGTTGAGAGTTTTGAAAATTTGTTTACTAATTGCCTGCAGCAGCGCATTATGTAACAAGCGCTAGTTTATGAAAGCACTTTTTCAATATATTTTTAGTTTCATTTTTTTCGTAATTCAAGGGGCTAAAATGGTTACAAATGCGAACTAATATACATATATTTTATTTTTTCGGTTCAATATTTTTCATTATTATGCACAATAATGCAGTTTGTTATGGATATTATATTGGCGCTGTACACATCCAAATGTCGCCGATGTTAGGGTAGGTTACCCCAAACCTGCTATCCTTAGCCCTTGGATCCCCTTTACGATCATTAGGGTAAGGTACCCGTTTAGTGGCTATTAGATTACCCGAACTCTATCCTTAGCCCTTGGATCCCCTCTACGATCAATCACCCCTTTACGGTCATAAGGGTTAGCTAGGTGCCCGTTTAATGGTTATTCTATATTCTATAGCGGCCCCTATTATTCTTCACACAACAACGTCGAGTAAAAAGGATGAAATGGTTTGGGCTCCTGGAAACTGTCCTGGACCTTCCTTCAACATGATCATGATTTTTACCTTGGGACGAAATGAATGAATACCTGTTTTCAGTTGACTACGGTAGCAGGTTTGACAACTTGACGGGACGGGGTGATCGGGCGACCAGGATTGAAAGAATAGTGCACTTTACCTGGCGCACTTTTCTGATCAAATCAGCTCTGTGGGGACTCAAACGCGCTTCGCCGGCCGCTCTCCCATTCATCTTTTCTCGAAACCACACCCGCCATTGTTTTTGTCAACATGACCGACCAATCGGATTGACCGGATTAATGCTTGAAAAGGAATTCATAGCTAACCCTTGCCCTGAGCAAGCTAACCCTAAGGACCCAAAAGGGGTCTTGGATCGTAAAGGCGTGTAGGTTTCCCTCAGACCGAAAAGACGTGTTGGATCGTGAAGCGGTCGCAATATAGCGCGGTAACTGAGCGGATGGTAGAGCTCGGGCTGCGCCCGGTAAACAGTATTCAAAGGGTGATCTCAGTGTGTAAAAATATGTGTGCAAGCACTATCAGGGTCACAAGCAAAGCTGTCTTACGAAATCCAGTCAGATAACGTACATGACCTTGACAGACATTACGAGGGTGATAATGCAGTGGTGAGCATATACTGTCCTATTGCAAATTTCGCACGACACGAATGACTTTGGAGCAACTGATAGCCATAAGGGAATTACCCCCGACCTGTAAGGAGCTTGAGAACACCTTCGTCTCCACATGTCTGTACGCCTACTGAGTCAACTCTGTGTGGCAATATGACCGTCCTGGTATCATACATGGTCCAAAGCTGTGGTATAAACATTACCTTATAAATAAACTGGAACGCAACTCGCTACGGATTGATGAAAAGAAGAAAGCAAGACGAGGGAACATAAGACCCAAGTATCTCTTTCTCGAAGGTTGAGCTGTTAACAGCATAAACGAGGAGATGACAGAAGGAACTGACAAGACAAAGATGTGTTACTTAGCGGGTTCAGTCCCCACTTTGCTGAAATTATACTGCTGGTATCGCCACATTTTGTCAACTTGGCCATACGTTAACATCAAGTATTACAGACATCATATCAATTATATGTCAAGTATATTCTGTTGATGAAACCTGATGAACAGGTGCTTGTTTTTTGTTGCAGTACACTTAGAAAACCACGTCAAGAGAAGATCATCAGAGAACACAGTTTTAAAGTTTTTTGACCAAGTACAACGTCATATTAGTGCATTGTAAACACAGGCATTAAATTTCTTCGTAATCAATTTTCATTCATGAGAAACATTTGTCAATCAATGCATTACAAGCACTTTAACCAATACATGTCATCTGTCAAGGTTATATAAAATTTCAAGTTTATCCACACATTTAAAAAATACGAATCTTACATATATGTTTCTAGGTTTGTCAGCACCATACCCGTGCTCGTGGGTTTCACCGAAGTGGTAAATGTCTGAGACCTACATCACTTGGGGCTTCCCTCCCACATTAAGCTGACACGCCGGGATATAACTGGAATACTGTTTTAAGCGGCGTTAAG